GTCTGATAAATTCTATGGAGGTGCTCAGATAAAGCAACAAGAATTCTTGCATTTCTTCTCTTCCTTTTTCTAACAGTTAGTGCCTTAAAAGCTTAGTTGACTTCCCTCACTAAAACTGGTACTAGTTGATGATAGCAAACAGAGATTCTCCCTTAGTTTAAGTGATAGGAATAAGCATCTTTGGAGAAGAGTCTGGATTTGGTTCTCTCATAACCATAATGAACATGAAGGCCTGAAGTTTTTTAGTGACCATGGATGTCTTACAAAACTAATCTAAGCATCAGAACTAGAAATGAGCTAAATTTAATATTTTTTTCTCTTGCTTCATGGGAAAGCTGCAAGCAGCGGAAATATGGGTCTATTTTGGTGATGGTTGTGATCATTGTAAAAAGGGACAATGGAAAGTTTTTCTCCTCCTAGTAGGGGAACCAAGATTAAGCAAAAGAGATTAAGAAAGAAGCTCCCCTCACAGAAAAAAAGACTCCAGTACTCTTGCAACTGAAGCATTTTAAATATTTACATAAACAGAATAAAGAGTCTCCTTGAAGCAGCAGGGGAGATTGGAAGAAAAGGGGTGGTTATGGAAATGAAAGGTTACTCTTCAAAGGTGAGTGAGGAGCTGAGAATCAGGGCTGTGTCTAATTTTGCCAGGTGTTTCATTTTGAAACTGTTTTGATGTGTTTTGAACTCAAAACAGTAAAATCGAAATGAAACAAAGGGTTTCAAAACAGCTTTGAAATGAAACAAGGGCAGTCAAAACATTTTGAAAGTTACAAAACATTTCACGTTTCAAAGGCAGGCTTACTTGGCTTCAGTGCCAGTCCCAGGTGGCAGTGGCAGCCTCCTCTCATCCAGCACACAGATCTGGGGGCTCACACCCCGGGGAGGAGTCCAGCACAGCCTGGCAGCCTTCCTGGTGGTGCAAGCCCCCAGATCTGTGTGCCAGATGAGAGAAGGCTGCCGCTGCTGTCTGTCCCAGCAGTCTTCTCCACTGCTGGGCACAGCCCATGACCAGCACCAGTTCCAGGAGGCAGAGGCAGCCTCCTCTCATCTGGGCTGTGCCGGACTCCTCCTTGGGGTGCGAGCCCTGGGATCTGTATGCCAGATGAGAGGAGGCTCAGGGTGCAATCTTCTCCGGTCCCAGGCAGCAGCGGCAGCCTCCTCCCATCTGTCACACAGATCCAGGGGTCTGCACCCCTGGGAGGAGTCTGGCACAGCCCCACAGCCCTCCTAGGGATTCGGACCCCCAGATTTATGTGCTGGATAAGAGGAGGCTGCCACTGCCAGCAAGTGTCAGGAGTTGTGTTTTGAACAGTTTGAGGTGCAGTTTCCCAGAAAGCTCTGCACCTATCTCCTTGAAAGTTAGCAGGTTTCATACCCTCAGAAGGGGCTACCATCCCTATAATTTCCATTCAAATCAGGCAAGCAATAACAAAGTTGTAGGCATTTTCATGATTCCCCATTATAGCCTATGGGTGAAACGTCAAGCCGCGTTGAAACAGCAAAACAGTTTCAACTAAATGAAATGAGACAGTGCTTCAAAACAAAACAAAATGATGAAACAAAACACTGTTCTTTTGAAATGGTGAAATGGATGTGGAAACAAAATGACGGTGTTTTGCATAGCCCTACCGAAAATCGCATTCAAAGATTTAGGAGCAAGAAGTCCTCCTCTGAAATGTTGGGTGGGATGTAGTAGGAAATAGTGGCTTCTGAATACAGTTGAAGAATAGAGTAGAAGAAAACAAAGGACTCGTCCCCTAACAGCAGTCAGAGGACTAGAGAGGAAATCATTTTCTTATGGGCCATATTCTGGTGGACAATCCAGACCATTACCACAAGGGGTAATCGGGCTTCCAACTGAGCTCACAAGTCCCTGTCTGAAAAGAGAACATGGAGAGTGGGGAGGAAGAAAATTCTCTGAGTAACTACTGACCATGTTGGCAAATTTCATTCTGCTCTTCAGAAATATAACAACCAGGGTCTGCACCCTGAATGGCAGAGGAGGCAGAGGCAGTGGCAGGGGCCAGGCCAGACTGTGCTGGCTGCAGCAGCAGTGGCTGGAGCAGCAGTGATGGTGGCTGCCATTCTTGTGCTCCCTCTAAGTGCACCCCTTGTTGCGCTACTGCTGCTCCTCCCACAAGTCAGAGAAAAGTTTTTCTCATGTCACTTTTTAGTAGGTGAGAAGAGAATACTTTTCAAACTAAGAGCAAAACATGATTATAATATGTATATACATTTACAGTTGACATGGTCAGTCTTTCAGTAGGTCCAGCTAATCATTCATCTTACAAGGAGAAAATCTTTGTCCAAAGATTCTTTTCCAGCATGGATGTGGTTAGAAGATGGCTCTTTAATTATTTTATTTTAGAGAACAATGTAAGTTTCCTTGTCATTTATTTATTTGTCTTGCATTTCAAGCAAAGCATTCAATATTCTCCTGTTTAATCATTCATCTGCTTGCCAGCAGACAGCCAAAGCTAGTGTGATATCACAAGTAAAACAGAAGGGTTCCTAAAGTGAGATTTATTTGTTTTTCATCCCCCATGAAATATAACCCTCCACATCCAAAAATGAAAAACAGTAAGGGATCTGTTCTCCCCTCTCGGCACACATGTAACTCCATTTAACAGTAGTGGAAGTAATACACAGCTATTAACCCTTAGACAGCCTACCAAAAGAATGCTTAGGAGGACAAGTATAGAGGTCACTTGGAATTTGGGCAGTCTAGTGCTTTACACTAAGAATCCCTGTGTTCCTGCCTTGATTCTTGCACAGACCTTGGAAAGCTTCTTACCCTTTTCTGACCTTTGATTGCACATCTGTGCTAGTCAAAGTAAAATGCAGAGATCTTGTAATGCTAACACAATTGTTTCTAAAATGCTTTGGGATCCCTGGATAAAAAGTGTTGCAGACCTAAATACTTCTCTTCCTTTATTTCCAATTTGCAGGGTGCGGAGGGGGAATAAACACTTAGGCATAATAAGAAGTACATGTGAAATAGAACTTCAAGGCATTGAAAATTCATGTAATCAATCTACTTTGCATTTTAAAAGTTAGTATAGGAAAAGGGAGAATATTGAAGCAGAATCACTGTCTTACTACCAAAGTTTGCTTGTGAAAGGGGTTTTGGGTGTTGTATTTTTTTTTTAGTTATTCTTTGGTTTTTTGTTTTTGGCCCAGTGCTGTGTGTTATTTTCCATTTTCCTCAGCCTCCCACACTCTAATGACTTGTGCCTGGAATTTTGTTTCCTATGACTATATTTTCTTTTTAAGCACAAACGCCACAGAGTTGGAAAATGTGAACGAGAAATAAAGCTGGCTGTCCTAAATGGAGGTTAAAGATTTCAGATTATGCACAACTTCTTTCTAAAAGTCACTAAGGGCATAATTTATGAAAATGCACAGTCATAATTCTGCTTTTCTTTCAAGCTTCCTACTTCTATGCCTTCAGGCATGTGATTTGTCAGGACAATCTAAAGGCCTAGTGGGCAACTGGGACGTGCTGTAGTGGACTGAAATGACCCAGAACAAACTCAGTAGTTAATCTTCTTTATTGCTGAAATCAATAAGGAGATCCATGCTAAGTGTTGACAGTTCTTATGTAGGGAGTGAAAAGTAGAAGTGTCTGCTCCTTGAACCTGTAATTTGTTACAGGCCAGTTGGGGTTTTTTTGTTTTTATTTTGTTTGGGGGGGGGGGGTTCATTTTTTTATAAAAAACTTGTTTTTCTGGCTTTTTTTTTAATGGAAAATTCAAATATCTGTTTTTTTTTTTTTTTGGGGGGGGGGGGTTTCATTATTTGATAAAGAACTTGTTGTTCTGACTTTCTTTGTAATGCAAAATTCAAATATCTGTATTTTATTTTTGTCTGATGGTTTATGTATTTAAATGTCAAAGTGATTTAATAAATATATATGAAACATTAACTTTTAAACTGTCATAAATAAGGCACAGTTGTGGGCCCTTAATTGCATTAGGAATTAATTACTTATATGACTAGCCTTACCAAGTTAAGTGGGGATACTTTCTGACCCAAGCAAATCAAAATGTAGTGACGTAACTGTTGTATAACGTTTTCAACTTACTGATTAATCCTCAAATTCTCTGTTCTCTGCCCACTTGTATTTAAAAGTAACAAGAGTAAGACACATATTGGGCACCTATACACGAGCTCCAGTGCGTTCTGATTAGAACGCAGATCGAGTCTGCTGGAGCGTCGTGATCAGAAAGCTCCAGTGTCTCATTTATTCAACATCCCTGTGTTTCAAAATGGTGGTTTAAAAAAAGCTCATTTAACAAGCTTCAGTTAAAGTATCCCTGCCATCATTTGGAAATTCAGGATGCTGAATGCACAAGACGCTTTGGGAATTTTAATTAGAGCGGCCTTTCTAGTTAAAATGTCCCTGGGAGCCGCCTTAGTTAAAATGTCCCCCACCCATCACAAAGCCTGTGTAAAAACACCCCTTAACTCTTCGAATGTTGGCATTTCTCACAGCTGACCAGATGCAAGGTAAGGAGGACATGTATGAACATCCCTTTACTAATCCTTAGGTACAGACCCAACTCTTCAGACAGCAACCTGAAAACTGTATGGGTTTCATTGCATGAAGAACAAACACAAACTAATTTTGTGTGTGATGGAGTCACAAGATTTGATAATGTTGATATCCATGGAAATGGATATCTCATGACAGAAATAGTGAAGAGACTTATTGTCAAAATTTGGCTTGTAGATCCAGTTGCCTATTCATAAGCATGTTTATAACATTTTTATTTACTTAATTTTGGAGAGTAATCAGAAAGAAAGTTATGTTAAAGTATGCTTAATGTCAAGTTTGTATGATACTACTACAGCTATTAAACAAAATAATATTTTTAAATTCCTCCCTTTCAATCTCATGCTCTATAAATTTGCTTTTACATTTCCATTTAAACTATCCCTACCCTTCCTTTTTACTTTGAATTTGAATCAGCTTATTCTATTTTTATTTCTTACAGATGTTAGCATGATGAAAATCTCTCCCATTTTGGAGCAGCACATTGCAGCCATGTCAGCTCCTCTGGTCCTGTATGGAATGTATCTTGCAGCCTGTTGTTGAACTATTATGACATGTCTCTAGCAATCAGAAAGAGAAGCTGGGAGGAACATGTGACCCAATGGATGGGACTGGCTTTTTCTCCTGTTGAATATAATACAGCATGCCGTCATGGACTTGTAGTTGATAACTTGCAGGCAAGTATGGAAAAAGATGAAGTTTTGAGTGCTAGCCGGAAAGAAAAATCTGCTTCGTTACCAGACTGCTGTCATAGTGGAGAGCTGACTGGCTTCCCAGCAAAGCTGCTTAGCAATATTTCGAAGGAAGTGGATGAAAATGACAACCATGAAGACGAGGAGCACTTTCTGGAGGCCAGTACAGAAACTTTGGTCCATGTTTCTGATGAAGATGATGATTATTCAAATCTTAGTTTGGGTAAAATTAACCACCACATCACTTGTACTGGACAGAAATCAAAAGACAAAGAAAAGGGTTTAGGAGAAGCTGGCTCCTTAACAATGATGGTACCAAAAATGGAAATAAACAAGGAATTTAATGTGTCTGGAACAATAGAAGTCATTAATGAGCTCGACTATGCCACCATTTCCCAAGAAAAAATGGAGGAGGAGGACATTTGCAGTAGTACTGGGAAAAGCCTGGTGCTTTGTAATTGTAAAGGGTTGTGTGAAGTATTACACAAAAGTGTACCAAGAGAAACCATCTCTCATTCTCTGAATGTGAAGGAAATTACTGTGCCTGGGAAACAGCTGCTTCATACTGCTGTAATTGCACAACAGCGTAGGAAATCTGATGCTTCTAAAGATGGGCTTGGAAAAACTGACAATACTGTGGTACAGGATAAGCTTTCCCCTGGTCCATGTTCTGGCAGTGGCAGACAACCATTCTCAAAAGCTGCACCCAAGGATTACCTTGTGCAATCTTCTCCTTGTTCCCGTATCATGCCAGTGGATAATGGTTTGGATGAATGTGTTCTCACAGAACCTCAAATGGGCCCTGAAAAAAAATATCTTACAAATGTCACTCCAGTGGAAGACATCCAGTGTTTACATTTTCAGGATGATCTGGCCACTCATGAACCTGCAGACAGTCACGTGAAATTGCGAAAAAGAAAGGTAGGACGTATACAAATTACAGTGATTGTTTTTAGGGGAGGGGGGGAGTGACATAGTCCCAACTTTTTCTTAGCTAATCGTTGAGAAACAATTTGAAAATATAAGTGTTTGCCTATTTTATTTATAAGATATAAATATGTTTACTGTGTGAATTTGGTATGTTCCTTAATACTTTTTAATTTATCTGTTTGTGTTACTCATCATAGCTGAGTCAGCAAGCACCTACCAGAGCTTTCCACTCTCACTGTGAGATTTTTTTACTGGTATCAGAGATCCAAGTGATATTTGCAGCAATACAAGACCCTTGTTTAAAGTAGATGGTGGGTGCAAGGAGGAGATTTATGTCATTAATGCTGTGAAGTGCACCAAACAACAATCTGAATCCCATGAGAAACAGTTCTGGCAAAACAAAAACAAAAAAATGTCACTCACCTATTGAGAGTGGATGCCCTTGACATTTTGCAATTTTAAAGCGACAAAAGAAAGCTCAATTGGCTCGTCGGACAGGGAAAACAAGAATTATTCCAAAATTTCAAGGGCCAGCTCCTAAAATCTAAACGGGCAAAAAATTGCTATTGGCTTCCAAGGGAGGAGTTCTGCTGGCAATGAGACCACAGGACTCCATTCCAAATCTGGCTATGCTACCTATGTTACATAGTCTCACTAATATTCAGTGCCTCATTGCTGACACTTCTCTCTCGCATTTATTGACAACATCCAGAATGAGGAGCAACACCCAGCCTGTTTGTCTTTTTTCAGAAATCTGGTTTCTATAAATTGTGGTTTTAACATCAGATGAGATCTGTAGTGTCTGTTTCACTAGATCAAAACTGCTTAAGTAAGAACCAGGATATCCAAACCCCTCTATGCCAACACATCATCCTGAGTTGCTGGCCATAACTCCCTTGCGTACACTGTTTGGTAATATTAACACTCAATAAGATGGTGTTATGTTTGGAAGCCACAAGTGACTTTTGCAAAAGGCTCTTGCAAGTTTCAAACCCCATCTTACTTTAGCATGAAATGGTGTAATTCAGAACTCTGTAATGTTCCTTAAATTCTCTCTCAGCATTTGTTACCATGACTTTGTTAAAAATAAGAAGATGGGACTGAACTGCCTGACCAGCAGTAATTACCCTGAAATCCTGAAATTTACCCCTTTCATGCATGTTTCTAAAAAAGACAGGTAGCATTTCCATCCAAAAAGCACATCACAGCACTGACTTACTGAGGTTGGCTTAAGTTATTACGAAGTTGTCAGCAGTTCTGTTTGCAGTGCGTCACTTCAGTTTTTTATCAAATACCATTGCTAATATTGGCCTGCACATTTACACAGATTCATTTAATAATGTGTTTTTAAGATTATATCATTATTATTTTTAAATGACTAAATGCTGTGGTATGGCTAATAATGCCCACATGGGATTGCGACGCAATGTGATCAGAAGCATAATTCTCGTACTTCCAGTTGATGTGTATATGCATTGATGTGTATAAGTGTAATAGGAATATATTACATACTAGAGCTGTGTGAAACAGCAGTTTTGTTTTGACTTCTGTTTCACCATTTTTATGGGACATTGTTTTGTTTCAAGTTGCATTTAATTTTGAAGCATTGCTCTGTTTCATTTCATCAAAACTGTTTTCCTGTTTCGATGCTGTTTTGATGTTTCGCCCATAGGCTATAATGAGGAATCATGAAACTGCCTATAACTTTGTCATCTACATCTTTGTAATTTCTTGCCTGATGTGTATGAACACAGGAGAGAGGGTAGCCCCTGCTGAGGCCACAAAGCCTGTCAAGTTTCAAGGAGATAGGTGTAGGGGTTTCTGGGAAACTGCACCTCAAACTGCTGACAAGCAAAACTCGTGTCATGTGGGTGTTAAGGCGCAGTGGGGTGAAAACAGCAGGCATTGTAGCCCCTACTGAGGCCATGGTTTCAAGGAGATAGGTGTAGGGGTTTCTGGGAAACTGGAGCTCAAGCTACTGACAAGCAAAACTCATTACATGAGTGACTGTGTGTGTGTGTGTGTGTGTGTGTGTGTGTTAAGGTGCAGCTGTTTTTCCATCCCACCCCCAGTGCACTGGGATTGGAAGGGACCTCAGGGAAGGATCACAGTCACTGGCCAGCTACACAGTCAATATCAGAGCAGTCCTTTCCCCCTCTTCCCCCTCCCTCTCCTTACTTTCTGTTTCTCTGCAGGCAAGCCCAGCTTCAAAACTCGAAAGTTTCAAAACTTTCAAAACGTTTTGAGTGCCCTAGTTTCATTTCAAACCTGTTTCGAAGCCTGTCATTTCATTTTGATTTGGCTGTTTCGAGCTCAAAACAAGTCAAAACAGCATCAATATGAAACACCCGATGAAATTTCGCACAGCCCTATTACATACCTGGTAGATGCAAGGTGTAGAACAAGAGTATATTTGTGGCCTGTGTATATAACAAAGGTATTTAAAAAATGGGAGTCTTAAAGATGCTAGCAAAGTTGTGGTGCAATGGGGTGGTACTGAACTGAAAGAAGGGGCAAAGCCAAGTTGCTGTAAAGGGAAAAAGTATCAGGGTGAGAGGCAGTCACTTAAAAATGTGAGCTTCGCACATATTAAGGAAACTGAAGAGGACTTTGTGTTGCAGTGAACAGAAGGAGTTTCCAAGTCTCGGAAAAATGAGCCTTGATTAAAGGAACCTTTTTTATCCAATCCTTGTATACATATGGTAAAAGGAAAGAATGCTGATCTATTGCTGCTTCTTCATATTATCTCTCTAGGTTTCACTTCAAAAATGGTGTTCCTTCTTTGAGGACTTATCACTTAAATGTAATCATATGTTTTTGTACAAGAAGTATTACCTGCTTTTAGCACTAATAATCTCTAATACAAGATGTCCCACTGTTTATAAACCACTTTTATACTAGAACAAAACATTAGGGAAAAAAACAGAGTTGAAACCAAATCTATCCATAAAAGTCAAGTGTTTGCTTTCCAGTGACTAGGAGACTTAAGGAATTGGTAATGGGATACAGAGCCTTTTCTCTCAAGGTCAGAAGTTCAAATCTAGCCCAAATACTGTGGCTGGAGATTGAAACATACCAATCTTTGATGGATGTTCAAGGTCCAATGTGAAATAAAGTTGAGGGTCTCAATCTAGTGCCAAATATATCAGTGCCCATTTCACTAGAAAACCACATAGCAGGCACTTAGGACAAAATTGCAATGATATTAATAGTAAATATGCATGGATGGCTTATCATATTTTTAAAGAGTACCTAATTTCTTTTCATTTCAGTAGTATATAGGCACTTAGACACCATTGGATGCCAGTATTCCTAAGGTGCCTAAATACTTTTAAAATTATGGCTCCAAATGATATTTCTTAGTTGTTTCAGTTGAGAAGCCAAGGAATAGACATACCCAGTGAGCTGCCTTCTTACCTTTAGGCTGCATATGGACATTCTGGAAGGTTAGGGGGAGGTTAAATCATATTTAAAATAGCCATCTGGTCTAAGATAAATCAGGATGGGAGGCTACTGGGAAAATTTTGGGCCAAGCAGGATCCAGGGGGCAAGTGGGATCCACAGGGAGTCTGGGGGGCAGGTGGGGTCCAAGGAGGAGATCAGGGGGCAGGTGGAGTCCTGGGGGGAGTTGCTGGGGTCTGGAAGGGTTTGCCAGGATCAAGGGGCTTGTGGGGTGCACAGGGGGCTTTGGCAGGATCAGGGAGTTCTCTCCCCTACTCCCACCAGGATAAGGGGCTATTTTTATTCTCCAAAGCCCCCACCCCCACACAAACAACCTGCCCCAGCAAACCTACCACCCATCCTTCCCTCTTCTTCTGCCCCTCCCCCATACAGACTAACTTCCTCAGTTCCCAGCGTTGGCAAATGCTGATAAAACTGGCACCAGAAGTAACTTGT